AACTTTTGCTTATTTTCTTCGATCTCACCAACTTACATCACAACATCAAAATCACACATCTAATTATTTAACAATTACATAAACATTACATCATTAATTATTTAATTAACCAAAAAAATTACATCTTTATTAATAACAAATTAATTATTAAACAAAACTAGTAAATATAAACTAAGCAAACGTGCATTGCACGTTGTTTGCACTTAGTAAAATATAAAGTGTGAATATGAAGCAAGAAAATTTTAGTCCCCTGTTTGATGCACGTTTTGGGAGTAAGAATGCATTTTTACTGTTGATGTGATGAGAAATATGTGGTTGAAAAAGAAGGAAAAATTATTGATATGATGAAAAATATTATTTTATTGAAAAATGTATGGTTGAAAATGAGTAGAAAAATGATAATGAAAAAAAATAATGTTGATCAGGGGCTAAATCATGCAATGTTTACTCTTTGAAAATTTATTTTTAAAGCATAAAATAATCAAACCAAAACTAATGGTTTCATGAAAAATGGGACCCATACTAGACTAGAGTTATGGTGCGATCCATCTTTTTTCGATGCATGATTAATTTTCAGAATTCCACTTCTTTTCGTTTCAATCCGGCCCGTAGAACTAATTTTCACTATTCTTATCGAGTTTCAATTTGAATGAATTCTCAAAATACCAGGATTGAATCACCCGATAATTTCTAATCTTAATACAACATGTTGCAGGAACTGTCTGAGGCTATTGCTTCATTAATTTTCCCGAATGAAAAATTAAATCTAATCAACCAATAAAATTTGTTGGTGCAATCAAATGTTTACATAAAAATAAAGCAAGTGCATGTATCTTCACCATCCATCTATGTACTTGTTCACCCCCAACCATCCACTCTGATTCCTACCCTACACTCACGTAGAATTTAGTGAAAACTGAAACCCCACACGCTCAACTCGACCCTACTTCAAACTCAGAGACTCTACACAAATCCTTTTCTTTAAAAGAAAACAAGTCTATACATATCGTATTCCCAAATAAAAAAGTCTTAAAGCCTTGCAAGTCATAGTTTAGCCGGATAGCCTTAGCCACGCCTTGTCTCACTTATTTTTCATCATCATCATCGCTATCACTATCTATCCACCTCAAAATTTTCACCCCCACACCCTGCTGGTCTTATTTTTCTGCTAAACATTAAACAGAAGAAGACTGTGAGAATATAGTGTATCTGAAAATTGGTGGCCAGGAAAAAGATGTATTTTTCCTTGCTTTTCAGTGGTTTTCTCTAGGAAATGATTCTGTTCAATTGGGGGTGTATTATTTTTTGGGTTTTCTGTAGAGGTGCAGAAACTTTTTGGTGCTTAGTTTATGTATAAAGTTAAGTATAATACCTAGAAGAGAGTTTGTGATATAATTGTTTTGTGTTGGGTTCTCACTGGCTGCCCACAGGAAACTGCAAAAGAGACAGCCCACTTGTTCTTGAAATAATAGAGAACCTGAATATTTTGGTATAGAAAAATGAAAAATCAGAAGTCATTAGTTTTTTAGAGTCTCGCAGTTTTTTTTTTTTCATAAAGAAAAAGTTGTATGATGAAGAACACTAAGGAGGTATCGGTGGCAATAGCAGAATCGTCAATAGGCGAAGGGCCCCAACAACAACAGAAGAGAAAGAGAGGTAGGCCTAGGAAAATTGTCGAAAAGATTGAGGAAATTAAAACAGCAGCAGCAGCAGCAGAAGCAGAATATGAAGATGTTTTAGAGGGTGAATCCAAGAAAGCAGAAACTATTGAAGGAGAAGAAGAAGAGAAAAAAGAAGAGCTGCAGATTGAAGAAACACAAGTGTCAAAGCAGCAGCCTCCAAGGAGAAGCAGCAGAGCTAGGAGAAAAAGCAAGCCCAGAAAGAGCAGCTAAAGGAATTGAATTGGTACTTGCTTGCTTTATTATTATTATTTTTTTTTGTGGTAGAAATTAGAAAGAAAAACGACTCAAGAAATTTGAAGTCAAAAAATAGAGGTAATGATGAAATGAATGCCCTATTCTGCCCATCTTGTGATTTAATTGTTGAATATTCATTTAATTTGATCTATCATGTGTTACCGCCTAAACTGATGAATATCCCTACCCCTAGTTGTTCTATGCTCAGATGTTGAATAGGTACTATTCTTTTGGTGGGTTTAGCATTTTTAATAGTTGAATTCTGTGCACTTGTCTAATGTCCTTGTGTTCTTCCACTCGTGTAATTTCTATGTTCAAAAGGGAGCATTTATTGACAATTATGCTTGTAGATGCATTCATTCATTCACCAGCAATGATATAAAATTCAATTCAACCCAAGAAAACAATTTCTCATTCAGACGAATGTATTAAATCAGAATTTTGATCAAATCAAGAGTCGCATTACTTTAAGCCTTCTCCTTCGGGATGGAGAGCTGCACCGAGCTAGCACAGGGTTGTAAAGAAAAATATACCAAAGTTACAGGGGAAGCATTATATAGAATGAACATCAAACACCCCTTTAAGCAAATGAAAGGAAAAAAGCAGCTAGCAAAACCGGCCAATAAAAAAAAAAAAAAAGAAAAAGAAAAAGTGTAATATTACAGACAAAAATTGTAGGCTATTGATCTTAATAAATACTTCCAAAACTTTCTGTTAACTCTTCTCCTGAGCAAACTTGAAAATACACCTGCTCAGCGGGTGGATTTGTGATGGCGCTCTTTCTTAAAACGTAACTGCTCTGGATCGAACCCACCTTGTTCGGCTCCATACACTGCCCATGATGGTGTCGGAGCCATATAATCCTTGCTGCTAAAAGGTTCTCCAGCCGCCACCTTTAGCTCAAAATGTGAAAGATTCAGTTAAAATGAGCACTAAAGCCTATGACACCACATTTCATAAGAAAAAAGAGACGAAGTCACCAACCAGGTCATGGAACTTGTCATAGTCTATCCAAGTGAACCATTGATCGTTAACTTTAAATTTGTTGACATTAGCCAGTAGAACACAACATGAGTGCACATGCTCGCAAGCAACCTCGTAAACCCCATTACTTTTTTGAGCTAAAGCTTCTGAAAATTCTTTTACATCAGAATGCCAGGGTACATTCTCCATTGTCAATTTTGAAGTTGCTGACCTGTTACAGAGTTCTCCATGTTGTGTAATCAGAGCAAACACGAATTGATACAAGTAAATATAAAAGGGAAAAACTTACGATCCACAATATGTAACTCCTTTAATTTCAATAAAATCAGGATCTCCGATACCAAAGAGGTTAGAATAAGCATCTAAATCCTCTGTGTTCCATCCTTTAACCAGGGTCAAGCGATAGACAGTTCGCTGCTGCTTCTCCTTGAGAGCTTGCAAAGAATCCTGGCATTATTTCAGAATAAGTCAAACTAGACATGCTATGACAAAAGTTCGACTAAAGTTGGGAGATCCGCAAACTTCAGAATACAAACAGTAACTTAATAAGTCATGGGAATTATCCCCCAGCCACATACAAATACATATGTGATGCAATTGAGAAAGCCCTAACCACTAACATATAGCAACTACAAAATTCATGTCGTGACAATGAACATAGTACAATGATATGTAATAGTAAACAAAGTAAAAATGCGAGCTTGGTGGAAAAAGAGAACTGATAAGTTGATCACCTATTGTGGTAATAGCTACAAGAACCAAAATCATTTTACAGGAAATTTAGACCGTCATAATTTTTGTATGAACCAGAAAGTTCTAAACTTATCAATGCTAAAAAGCAAAGATGGATATCTTGAGTTTCTATTTTTACTAGCACTTCACAGAAAGCACTTAAGAGTTAAGAGTATCGCTGTAATAGTGAAGTCATTGTAATGCTTATAAAGAGAAGTCGTTGTAATGCTTACATATTTGTATAGAAGAACATTGTTGCAAGTTTTCCAATTTTTATTTTTATATTTTTTTTGAACTATTTAACATTTCTTGATATCATTTAATGGTTTTCAACGGAAAAAATGAACAAGATTAATTAGAGTTATAAAGAACTCATCTTCATTTTGCTTCTAAGCAAGTGTCAATAAAGTCCAATAGTTTAAAAATAAGAAAATAATAATAATAAGACAGAAATAACTGGGAAATTCTTCCTAATTAAGAAGCTACTTACAACAAATCGCTCCCAAAAGTCCCCAAAGAGTGGTCTGTCAATTGCCTTCAAGCTGTCCTTTGTTGCAGCATCTACACTAACATACAACTACATGATACAAATAGAAACCTGTTAAACATTTATTCAAAACTATAATGCACTTTAAAGAATACATTAAATCAGTAATAAACATTAATCAATAACAACATACTCCAAAAGTATGCAGACCTGAGTGATAGGTTTCAGCATCTTAATCCTATCAGGAAACTGAGCATTTGTTACGAGAAAAGTCGAGATTCGCCTCCGGTGCAGCTCATCTATAAGTGAGTTAATCTCTGGGTACATGATAGGTTCACCAACAAGAGACAAGGCACAATGTCTTGGAGAAAGACCCTCTGACAATCGCTCTACTTTTACCCCTGCAGTCATAAATATCCCAATCAGTTATCAACAGAGCACAGCATATTGCCAACCAGCTCATTGCTCATAGGGCATAAAATATCCTGACCAAAACAAAGCAAGCATAAATTTGTCTTTTCTTTTCTTTTTTTTTTGGTCTCTGATCCCAAACAGAACATAAAATAATGCGATAAAAAATTTAAATGTTAAATGTATACAACAAATAAGGGAACCAACTCAAATTGACAAAACATTGGTGTGGATATCTACTAAGAATGACTAAAAAATAACTGAAGAGACATGTTCAATCAATATGAAGAAAAGAAGCAATTGAGATGCTCGAGCATGTAAAATCTAATATGCTCCACCTATCCAACTCCGCCTAAAAGCATATAAGATCCCATTCCTGAAGGCTCTTCCTCATTTGCAGTTGTCATAAAATTCCTAGATTCAACCCATTTGAGGACTGTAACACTTGTCCCCATGTACATTCAAATATGCAACAGTTATTCAACTGATCGTCTCCTAAAATGTCCACAACACTTGATGAATTTTGTTTCTCCTGTTCTGTTCCACTACATATGACTGTCTAACCTACTAGACCATTCACTTCCAAAACAATTGTCATTGTGAGAAGGGTAATCTGTTTGATAAAAACGTCTAAATAAATATACATATGAAAGTTACCAAACCTACCAGGAACTCCTTTCATTTGCTTTATCATTTTCGTATGCAAATCAATGGCAGTATCGACAATAACTATTGGATCATCCATCTTCCACCGCCAGCTTTTCCCTACAGGATTTGTGTGATGTCTCCAACAAAAAACACATTTGTTTGCACATGCTAAACTTGGGGTTGCCTCCATGCATCTAGTGATATGCATGTATCCAAGTTAGAAATTTGAAATAACAGCTAGGAAAATAACTAAGGTCAGAAATGATAGACCATAATACATCTCAGAAAACAAAATCTTTTAAGCTTACAAAACTTTTAGATGATTAATGCTACATAGGTAATAATATAAGAAAAACCAATCCAAACCTGTGACTCTCGATGCCATAAAATGAGTGCTTATAGCAACCTCCACGCCCTCTAAGCTG